CCCCCCCCCCCCCCCCCATCACCACATGGCTTAATTGGTGAGATATGGAATAGTAATGTGTTGTCTTGCAAGGCATTCTCTAGATTAGAGTTTATATTTCCCGTTGAATATTTCCATTAAAGAGATTGAGCAAATGTTAGTCCTTGGCAATTCATTTATATATTTCTTTACCTCTCCATGTCAAATCAACTCTCCTTGACATCCCTTGAGTGGCGTATTTTCCAGTGTGACAAGTGTAGAGAGAACTGTGTTGGCTATTGTCTGCCTTAATTAGATACAGAAAGCAAAAGGAAAAGACATTTTGTTTTGGTTCCCACCACATTAGATGTGCTGAAAGCTGGAAACAAATGGGCTATAATTCCAGGCCACATGGAACTCATTCTGATGACCTTGGAGATCTCAAACACTGCAGAAGAATAAATCTGTCTATGCATTTGGCACAGGAGTTTTTCACTGTTTTTGAGTGACTTTTGAGCAAGATCATCTATTAGGTGGAAGGTTGACTGACAAATGTATCAAATAAATGATAAGACTCAATACAAATATTCTCTCTATTTGGATGATTTGCCAATGGCACCTCTGATCTTCCAGTCTTTTTATAGATTCGATAGAAAATGCTTCAATGTGACTATAGTTCCACTTATTGGTTTTAACTCTGAGCCAGAAGTAGAGAGGAATTAGATATTTTCTGTATTAAAGGAGCTTGGACATAAATTTAACCGATGTACTAGAGTTTGTTGGTTTTGAAATCCCTCTACAGAAGCCAAACTGGGTGGTTTTGTGCATATGAATATGTGTCCCTAAGATCAAGAATCTAGTCTGAGCAAGATTAATGAGGCAGGTTTGCAAATATAAGAGAAAGGAGGAGGTACACAAGAGAGGAGAGGCAGAAAGAGTATCTTTCAGTAGAAGCATGCCTAAGACAAGGTTAAAGACAGTGTTGCTGAGATTAACCACTGCACAGATGAGTAGGCAAAGTGATAAACAAATAGGGGCACAAAGTAAATTTTGTTTACTTCCTACTTCTTCCTTGGTAGTCAGTAGGTTGTGAGGGGCGGAAGAGTCAAATTTTACTTTGTGGCTGCAGTAGGTAAAAGAACAACTTGGCATGCCCTAAAATTATCACTCCAATTTAGGATCCCATTAGGGAATGCTCAGTTTTATTTATTTACTAGGTAGGTAGGTAGGTAGGTAGGTAGGTAGGTAGGTAGATTTTTTTCATAGAATGAAAGACAAATTGAAAGAAAAAAGGAAGGAACAGAGAAATAAGAAAGTGCAAGAAACAAAAGAGAGAGAAAAAACTAAAGTTAAGAAATAGATGAATGACTTCCAACCTTCTTTTCGATAGATAATTACAATCTTATTGTCCCTCCTCCCTCTCAGATGTTGTACAAGTCCCTTCAGTCCCTCATTTAATCCAAGTCTTTATTTTATTTACTTGGGTTTAAATGCAACCCCAGTGCAAAAGAAGTCTGACTAGCTTCCTTCTTTCAGTAAGAGGTTAAAAAGAAAAAGGGGGAAAAAAATCATGGTATGACAAAATAGTCATTCACAATCACAACTAGAATGTCAAAACGTTTTAGCATCTGAGGATTGTGCAATCATCAAAAGACAACCCGTAGATGTATCTAATATTCCCCTGGTTGCACACACACAAAAACCAGAACATCTATGGTGGTCTTTATTAGTTTTACTACACTGAAAGTGTTTTTTTCTTGCTTGACCATTTTTTTCAGCTAAATGATTTTCGCTGTTTTTGGGTGACTTTTGAGCAAGATCATCTTTTGGATGGAAGGATGATTGATGAACCTATCAAATAAATGATAAAATAAGGCCCAATAAAAAAAATTCTCTCTATTTGGATGGTTTGTGGGATTTTAGTATTTTTACCCTCAACTTTCTGAACCACAAAAAGCTGTTTCTTGACAAGACCATTCTTTGGCGTCTTCTACATAGCAATGCTATCAAAGTAGTAGCCACAGTGTCACTAGCTACATCATGGAAAATCTCATAGGCTGTATTTCCTAATGGCTGGATTTCTCTTTCAGGTTTCCCAGAGCATTCTTAACATTTAGTTCCTTCAGAAATTTGTTCTCAGAAATCTCTGGATACTGTTACTGTGCTGACAGTCTAGGGAGAGAATTAGAAGATACAGGTGAGTCTATCTGCATGGGTCTCCTAAAAGTGCTCCTTTCGGAAAACCTGGGAGTGAAACATTTTTTGTCTAGCAAAATGTAAAACTGGTTTGGAAGGAGAAGAGATCCAAGGAATTATCTTCTTCCAAGATGGGATGAAGTCGGACAAGCTAAACTTGAACGCAGACAAGACAGAGGTGCTATTGATCAGTAGGAAATTGGACTTAAGGATAGACAGCCTGTTTGGACTGGGGCTGAACTCCATCTTGATCTTCAGCTATCACTGAGTTCTCAGATGGTGACCATGACAAGGAAAGCATTTGTGTTAGCCAGTGCATCAATTCTGATCCTCTTTGAACTAGTTACCATGGTTATATCCTGTCTGTACCATGTGGTTATCCTTGAAAAGGGTCTAGAAATTGAAATTGGTGTAAAATGGGGCAAAGGGATCTGGTGATATAAAAGTCTGCACTCATTGCCATTTTTTTACAAGACAATATCAGGGATCAATGATGTCAAAATGGTGGGGATGATTCCAGTTTACACAGACATATAATGGGGTGGGACTCTGATCATTTGGTTGTGCTCCCCATTTTGACATTGTTGATCCCTCCAAGGATGTCCCCGCTAGACATAATTTAAGCATTTAATTTTAATCTTTAAAGCCCTAAATAGATTCTACTTAGGACAAACAGCCCAGACTTGGTGCAAAATAATTAATTGTTGCAAGCTTGCATCAGCAGTAGCAGAGCGTTTCAATCTTCCAGGACACTCCATTGTAAATCTCAAAGTAACTGTTCCAGAATAAGGAGACTTCACTAACACAAGTGAGCAAGAGAGTGCTAAACTCACATACATCAAAAGATTATCCCAGAAGGACTCAACAAAACACATTGAACTTTTAACACACTGCAATTGCTAACTGATACGGTATTTGTAATCTGTCTCGTGTCTAACCTTCATCTGCATGACCACCCTGTCTTCCCCCTCCTCCTCATTCCAATTTAAGTCCTACACCAGTTTGGGCACTTCATGCATCTGATGAAGTGAGGGGTAGTTTGCTAGACCTTACGCCTTTTAATAAAATTTGGTCGTCTGAAAATGAACCACCGCACTGCTTCTGATATTCTGAACAGCAGTTCTGAAATGTATAGCTCCTTGCAACTCACAAACGAGGATTCTGCTTTTTTAAAAGTCCACTTTCAAACATGCTGATTAGAAACCACATTTCACCAGACAGCTGATTTGGGATGAATTCTCCAGCTTTCAAACATTCAGACAAAAAGAAAGCAATTAAGTATTTGTTCTAAAATCCAGATGTTAAAATGACTAAAAGTTTAGCATCAATATCTCCAGTTCCTCTCCTTTCAAGGAAACTCTTCTTCATTTCTCAGAATATACATTCTACAATCACCCTGCTTTTGAAATGATACAGATAGATGTCAAAGGTATGATTGTAGATTTTGGTTTAGAGATTATGGCTGTGCAGTGCTTCTGTGCAGCTGCTTTAAAGAGGTGGAGACAGATGCTTTGATTGTGCCCTCCCATGGACTGAACCTCCTTTTTTCAATTGAATCCAAAGGGCTGCCTAGCCCAATCAGATATATCATAGTCAAATTAAAAAGAGAGATTTAAGTGACTGAAGGGGAAGCTTCTGTAGAAGATGCTCTATTAAAATGTTCTTTTCTCTCCCAGGTCTGGAAATGCTGCTTGAAAATGTATATGACACAGTTTTTGCATCGCTGGAACCAGTTCCCACCTTTGCAGAAAGCAGCATGTATAGGATCCTACAGAGACGCTTCCTGGGAATACAGCTGGCAACAACTGGCAGATTCAGATGTACGTAGCATAAAGTTCTGTGGGTTTAGAAAGCGAGAGAGCAGGACAACACATATTGTTCTTTGGAGAATGAGATGGTTCTTCTTCTCCCAACTTCCATTCCACCCAGCGAAGTTGAACAGTGGATTGCTTTTGTTTCTATTGATTTATTATAACATTTATATCCCACCATTCTGCTTATATAAGTGGTCAAGGGTAAGAATGCAGAATACAAAGCACAGCCAAATCAGTACAGTTAAAAGCACAATTAAAATCAGCGTAATTAAAATCCATCAAGAGTTCACTTGTCTGAGCCCTTTTCTTCTTTTTCCCCATTGGAAGAAATGTATGAGAGTAATTTAAAAGACTTTAAAAGGAAAAGAAAAGCCCTAAGTGAAACAGATCAGACAATAACAACAGCTAAAAAAAATCTAATAGACTTAAAAGTTGCATCAAAACCCAAAGAGACAAATACTGATTAAAAAGCTTGGGGAAGTGGAGGTAAAAGGTCTTGTTACATTGTCCCACTGTTCCTCATCAAGAGTTAAAAAGCTTGGGGAAAGAGATGCATTTTTGCCATCTTCCTACTGGGAGAGTAGAAGGCTAATGCGCTTCCTTGGGAATACATTCCATAGCCATGGAGACGTGCTGGAGAAGGCTTTTTCCTGTGTAGCAAACTTCTGGCGCCAGGGGTGTCTTCAAAAGGGTCTCTCCTGGTGTTCACCCAGCAGGTTCATAGCAGGTTCACTTGAATTTCACTCCAACACTGGTGAAACAATAGCATTCTCCACCACCACACTGGGTACAATGAACCTAATTGCTTGGGCCCCTATCTAGAGTACAACCAGAACATTATTGACTGTACAAAAAGTGATTCAGGTTTGAAGTAAAACAGCCATGCCAGTACAGTTTTATCGGGTTCTTGGTGTTCTCTGAGCATGGTTACTTTCTTGGAGACATTTCATTATGTTACCTATCCTGGTAATGAAACATCTGCAGGAAAGCAACCATGCTTGGAGAACATCAGGAACCCAGCAGTTCAACTCTGAGCTACATTTATTCTTCACTATTGGAACAATATAGTTCTTCCGAGTATCTAATATAGCTTTGTCACCTGGTAAGTCATCACAATCTTAAAAAAATGGACTTGACAAAAATGTTAGGACAGGTTTCTCAATCTAATACCCTCTGGATATGGATAACCATGTACACAATGGTGTGTTGGAGCTGGTTTGTTACTGGTTCACAATTATTACATTTTCTGAAATTTTGTGAGCAGTTGAGAACAGAGCTGAGCCTCTGTGCCTAGCACACAATCAGTGTCAAGTCCACAAAGTCCAAACCCCAATTCAGAGGAATTCTCATGAAACCAGGCCTGGTTCAGATAAATGCTCCTTTATTGTGTGGTACATGCAGCTTGAAGCAAAACATTGCTAAAACTGAAGCCTGAGTAAACTTCCCTCTATTTATCCCCCCTCCCCTTGTTGCCCTGGCACCTTAATTCCTTTTCACCTGGTGGTGACCTCTTTCCTTCCTCTCGCAGATACATAGCTCCTTCCTGGCCATCAGGCCCCCCACTGGCCTTGCCTGCAATCAGGTCCGGCCTCATTGCCCATATAAGGTTAGGCTCCTCACCATCTCCCGTGACTACTCCTATTAC